ATAACGACCCTTCCAATCCTATTTTCTCAAGGAAGTGTAGGATTTGGAGTGGCTTCAAGTTAGGTAAATCTCCCTCTTCTATTTGATATCCTCCTAGATATAGTGCCCTTGGATTCTGGAGTGCTACACATTCAGTTAAAATGGGAATAATTGTTTCGTCGTTCTCCTCACAGAATCTGCACTTACTATCCTCTACTACTCTCAGTTTACTAAGGTGTCCTTTTAGTCGGCAATGCCCGGTAAAGATCCCTGGTACAATACGTAGCCTGGTCTTGCTCAGGCAAACGCAGGCTTCCGATATTTTCTGGTTATATTCACCCAGAAGTATCTTAGCCTGCCTCAGTCCCAAGAGATTGTTCCAATTATCGTTTTTTCTACTTCCCAATTCTTTTACGATCTCGTAACACGAGGTGCTTTAAGATTATGTTATGTTGTATGTTCGGTTATGATGTAAAATGCCATTATGTTGTTATTAGTTAATTTTATGAAAATAAACATCCATCCAAGTAGAAAGTGTTTAATTTTATGATCCCTCACACTGTTGATATGTATTTATTTTGTATTGTAATTCAATACCCTGTATCTATTTTTACTATAAAGGAAAGGAAGGAGGGAAGAGGCCCCTGTATCTTCCCCGTAGTTAGCAGCTACTGTTCTCACTCGTTCATGTTAGAGTTTGGTTAGGCTTTCCATAGGAGTGGATGAGAAAAGGTTTTCTATTTTTTAACAATTTACAATTTTATTTCTTGCATTACAATAACGCGAGCCTTTTTTCTTCTTTCTTCTTCTTTCTTCGTTATTTCGTGGTCCACTAGTGGTCCGCTGAGTTCTTTGGTGTTGAGTGGAGAGCAGGCTTGGCTGATGCCATTCTGAGCGGGGTACCTTATTAATTACTAATTAACTATCGAGAAGATTCAGAAAATTTTGTAAGATATTGGAAAAATATATTGAAATGTGTTAACTTTGGTTTTCAGAGAGTGATATTTGTAAAAAAGAATAGATGGGGGAAAAGAAATTATTTATAATATTTTACAGAAAATGTCTATAAACATTTACGTGTCCCTTTTGGAAAAAAGTACTACGGCTTCTCAAGGGAAGTCGTCAGGTTCGAATTAAGCTAAGTATGGAAGGTTATCAATAAGGTTGAGAAATGCAGTAGGAGGATGAATTGGATTTTGCCCAAATTGAACGTCCAGCAAAATTCTTTCGTTGTCAAAGTTTCGACAAAATAGGATACGATGTACGGGTGTATCTTCTACGCCAGTGTTGATGCAGTTTGGACTGACTGATTTTCCTATCTTGTGGAGGTAGATCATGGAATCTCCTTGTCTACTACTTTGAGTGTATTCTAGGCGCACTTGAGGGTCGCAGAGCAAACTACGTTAGTAAAACTGGTGCCTGAGCAACTTTTATTCTAATTTTACCACTCTCAGTACCACCTACTACTTCCAATTCACTGTAGATGAAACCAGAAGCCTGTTACATGCAAATTACCAAAAGAAAAAGATACGAAAAATTGTGAAGAAAGACTGGCAATAAGGAATTTGCAAGCATTGTCTATGGAGTAGAAATTAACTCTGTACAAAAATTCAACAAGTTGGTGATAATATTATCAACCTTTGCTGGTGAATTAACAAAATCTACAATAAAATAGGAAAATGAATTAAGATCATAGATTGTCCTTTCATTGTTAAAGAATAAAATCGCCACAAGGGTGGTGTCGATTTGTTAGATAATAATCCAGGACGTAGATAATTCTCTTAAAGAGTAAATAATGGTACTATCAATTTGATCAATTACTAGATTTGACAGTTGCAAATAGCTAGATAGTGTATAAGAAGGCAATAAGAAAAAGTAGTTGACTCTAAATCTGAAGCACTCACTCAACATCAATTTAGAGCAGAAATAGGAGAAGCTTTGGGTATGACAGGAGATAGATTTGTTACAAAAAGCGGATTACCATCCTGTATGGTAGTCTAAAAAACCTTGAATTGTTCCAGTAAAAGATTTACGCAGAGATATGTTTGATTATTGGTCGTAGGTGTAAATTAATGACAAATGTGGTGTGACGCTTTATTTTACTACAAGTAAAAACGGTTTTTTTTATAATACTAAAATATAATTTAATAAAAATTTTTTGTTTTCGAATAATGCTGTTTTTAATTTCTTCTTTATTAATAAATCTTAACAATAATTTTTTCCGTATTTTGCCCTAATAATACATACCTCCTAGAGATGTAGGTTTTTTTACAACAAATGAAAAAACAAAGTGTTATATAGTAAAGTTTAATACTTTCTTTTTGCAAAATGACATTCTTGTTCCTTGAATAATGACCAGACAATATTTCATTTTCCATTGTATTTATTTACTATACCAAAACTAAATAATGTAATTCTCAAAACACGTCAACATCATAAGAGTAGTGGTGTTAATATGTTTAACTCTTTTGTATTCTTATCAAACTATTTTATTTCATTATCTATTTTTTTTTTTTTTCAGGTATCAGATTTGGCCATATGTGATTTGACCATAACTATGAAAAGAGCTCAAGCAGTAGATTTTACTGGACCATTTATGATGTTAGGTAAATGATTGTATTATTAAAACAATACCATGAGTAAAATAAATCTTTGAAAAAACTGTTTTCTCTTTATAACTTAAGATGTCAAGGATATTAACTGCTCCTTTTTTACTCTTCCCACTTCTGTTTTCTTTAGTTTCTTTACCCTTCATAAATTTACAAATTTCCTCTGTAATATTTCTGATACACTTTTATTTCAACTTTTCGTAGGATTCCCACACTCCATTCACTTTTTAACTATTGCTTATGTCGTCCTGTATGATTTTGTGAACCATCTTAGTTTACTTTATTTGATAGTAGGAGAGTTTGTTTCGAGTTTCTTATTTTTCTGTTCCTGTTACTCCTAATGTCAGAGACTAATTATACTTACATACTGTCTGTTACTTTAATTTAGATTAGCCTGTTAATGAGGAAGCTGTAATTTAATAAATATTAGGACTACTGTCTCTGCAGTTTTCATTTTATTACCTATCAGTTTTTCACCTTATAGTACAAGTTCATAAAAGTCTTTAACAAAGCGATGCTCTTGGATCAATCTTTGTTTGTTCAAAAAGAGGCTATTTTTGCTATCTTAGCTTTTACTGACAAACTAGATCTTCATTGTATACACCTTTTGTTCAAGTGTCAAGTCCTACACTTTATGGTAATAGTGAGTTTGTTCACTATTTCTTCTGATCCTCTTTTTGTAAGTTCGTCATTGCTTTCGATGCACTGATAACCAGGCTCATTTATTGAATTAATTTATGTCTAATCCAAATTTATTTTCTTTTATATCCATGTAATTTTATTTGGAGTTATTTTGGTTTTCTCAATTAGCACAATGTCATCTTTGCTAATACACTTTTTAATTTCCACCTACGTTGAATCAGTCAACTTTGAATTTGTTAATTTCTTTATGTACTAGATTTATTTTTACATCAATAACAATAACAGATAGACTGTCTAAAACGTTTTTCATATAAAGACCTACTTCATTTGAGAAAAACAAGTATTTATTACTAAATCAAAGTATTTATTAAACCGTCACAGACAGAATTTAGATACAGCATCTACCCCATAATTTCATAGCATATCATATAACTAAGACGCTGATAGTATTTACTTTAAGTGAAATTGATCTATGAGGAGTTTCAACAGCTGCAAATTAGTAGGCAAATTACTAGTATCCATAATACCAGCTTTGGTAAAATTTGTGCTTTTGCACGAGGAACAAACTTTACATATTTGAATATGACGATATAAATCATTACGTAATTTTGGCCAATAATATAATTCAGAAATTCACGAAATTATTTTAGAAATGCCTAAATGGCTACTAGATACATCATCATGGAACATTTTTAGAAGATCTTTACGATTGTTCGCCGGAACAACCATTTTTTTAATCAGATAAATTAGTTTCGATATAAGAAAAAACGTGTTTAAAATGAATATTACTTTCGACTTTAAATGATAAGTATTTGATAGGATGATTTAACTGTATTAATCATAGATAAAGACCATTCGTCTGGTTTCAGGGTAGAGATATATAATGCATAAATTTCGTTAACAGATCAAAAAAGAACATCACTTACTAACATGGTGGAACCTTTGCGATGTTTAATTACAAAATCAAATTGAGCTAACCTGAGAGCTAAACGAGCAGGTTTGCCACTTGGATTTGATAATTTATATAGGAATTGTAATAGGTTTATTATATACGGAATGATCAATGAAGTCATGCAAAAAATCTATGTATAAGTTCGAGTGGTCAGCAGAACGTCTTTCCAGATAGGTAACTTGGGCGAAGAGGATCAATCGAATGGCATCCATACTTAATTCCTATTGTTTTTTTATTAAGGAAATATATGAATAGTTAAATATACCAACATAGACCATTAATTAACTCACAGAATGTATACGGCTCGAGATAGAGCTAATTCGGGAGAAAGTTCACTGCCTTTTTATGTTTAGTTGGACTTTAATGAACAAGAATTTTAATTTTATTGATAAAATGTTTGACAGTGTTAAAATCTGATTAATAAATACGATTTGGTAGACATTTACCATTCAATTGAAGTAACACACGTTATGGCCGCTGTACATAATGATATATACACCATTCTTTAGATTTCTTATTTTTGTTTGATTAACATTTTATCTGTTTGAAACAGGTCTTCAAAATGTTTTTCTCTTTACTGTGTTGTAGTTTTTCTTTATATGTATCAGTATATTAAATTATAATATAAATTAATTTAATTTTTATTTAAATTGTTAGGGTACAGCTTTTCTTCAGTTTGAGCAGAAAATATTTTTAGTTATTTTTTTATATTTCAGGTATAAGTATATTATACACAAAACCAACGAAAGCACCACCAAGTTTCTTCTCGTTCGCTGATCCTTTTGCGTTTGAAGTTTGGAAGTTACTGATTGTTTGCTGGGTAGGAGTGGCCCTGATCCTGTTCATCCTCGGCAGGATTTCGCCTACGGAATGGGAGAATCCTTATCCCTGCATTGAAGAACCAGAATACCTAGTAAATCAGTTGGATTTAAGAAACTGTGTTTGGTTTATAACTGGTTCTATTATGCAACAGGGTTCTGAGATTGAATTAAAGTAAGAATTTATTTAAAGAATTTCTACATAATATATTTATGGATTTATTTTTATGAGAAGTTTATTGTACTAGGTGTTTCACTTTGCTGGGCGAAGTGATTATGCTAATAATAATAATAATAATAAAATAATTTATTCAACTTTTATGTATAATTATCTAAATCTTCATTGGGCGAATATTTATAGGATTATTTCTTCCCATCTCTGTCCGGAGCTGAATATTCTTGGGTGATAACTTCGCACTCAAACGCTCAATGCAGTATTTTTATTGTTGCATTTTGTTTTCCCTCCTTACCCTCAAGATATTATGGAAAAGTTATTGCTGTTTTGCCTAACGGTGATAATGGATTTGCGTGTGTTATTTGGTCTTTTGTTAAATTGTGGTTTGTTTCCCTGAAAAAACAGGGTTGTCCTTATGTCAAAAGATATGTCCGTATAGTTTATGCTAGAAATGTGAAAACTCGTGTTCTACAAAGTATTCCGTGCATTTCGATCCAAAATTGGAGGCCCCGATTTCGTTCGTTTCGTTGAAAAAATACTTTTATTTACAATATGTACATTTCGTCATCTAATAACATTTTAATTACATATAACACAGATGGATTTCTTCTTAATGACTACAGGAAGTGTTCCTCTTCTGCAATGACCCCAGGCGGGGCCATGACCGATGTTTTGGCTGAGCAATTCTAATGTATTAGTTTAAGTTGTCATTTACTAATGACCTCTCCTTGCTCTTAATCAGCATTATAGGTCAATATAGGTTATTAACCAGATCACTAATGGAAAAGTGTTAAATTTTTGTGTGGTTTTACTTCTGTCTGTCGTCCCTGAAAAACCAGTTGAAAAAACAGAGTTGTCCTAAAATGTGTGTCATTTATGTGGTAGTTTATGTGCATGAAATAATAAAATCACAAGACTACACAATTAAGCCATCAGACAACACAAAAATTTTCGCACTCCGTGATGACGTCACCGTGCAGTCTTCCATCCGACTATAGTTTGTAACTAGTCATCGTAGTGATTTTACTATTCAGTGGGGTCATCGCTGTTATGAAGGATGTTCGTGAATTTTCTTAAGTATCCTGTCTTATATGTAAGTAAATGGGTGCTTTTTGCAGATATTCATGCCGCTACTCACACCAATTTCTCGAAAGATCAAAGATAATCCGAGAAAAAGTGCTTCCATAGTCGCATAAACATCTACAAAAGCATTTTACAATGTAATTAAATGAATGTTACTGTATTTTAAAAATTGAATGTTATGAATTAATTTAAAAGACTGAAATTGATGTCGAAGTCTGTCATGAACACGTATGTCTCTATGACTTCCTTTCCCGTTTTACAATTTACTAGTCTGGCGTTCAGTGCTCTGACTGCTCTAGTTAATTCACCTATATTGATGAGTCTATTGAGGGTCTCAAATTCATTATTTAGGGCCGTGAAATCGTCCATGGCCACGCCTGGGGTTGATTGTCTTTGGGTATCGGGTCTTCTGGCTGGAATTCTCATGTTTTCTGCAGGTTCTCGCGCACATTTAGTGGGTAGTGTTGAGAATTCTGCCTCTGGGTTTCGATTCTTGCTTCTGGCCTCCCATTGGTTCAGGATCGGCTGGGGGGCAAGAACATATTTCTACTGTTGTTTCGGTCTTCTTTCCAGCATTCTCTCTAATTTTTCAACATAATTAGGTCATTTGGAGTAGTTTGCGGGGTGATCATCCCCACAATTTGCACATGTTGTCGACGTATCTGGAGTTTTTAAACAGGTTTTCGTGTGGTGATCACCCGCACACTTCAAACATCGTGTTTTTCGGCCACAATTTGAGGTTGCGTACCCCCACTGTTGACAGTTGTGGCACTGTATGATGAGTTTCATGGATTTCCTCAATTCCCATGTCACTCTGGTATAAAGGACCCTTCTTGTGTTTTTATTTAAGTATTCTAGCATGATTACAGGGTCTGTAACCACGAGAAATAATGGTCTTTCCTTAGTGCGCATTTCATACACCGCACGTGGCTTTATCTCATGCTCTTCTTCCAGGTTCTCCTCTATGTCTACAATTTTGGTACTTTCTGCTAGACCTCTAAGGACGAAGGCATGTGATTTGTCATCCCTGGAGGTATAGGTATGATATGCATATTCTCGGATTTAATATTGTCTAGCACTCGTTGATGATCTTCTTTATTTTCTACAAAAATGATGGTAGTGTACTTAGTGTGCTTTATAGAAAATTCACCTTTAAATAGGCCTTTTAGGTCAACAACTAAGTTCGCTTGGTTGGCCGTCCTGCCATCAATTACAATTGGGGGCATCGTATTTTTGTTCTTGCTAGGTCTAGTTCGAGTTTTGTGTGAATTATCAGTTTTTGTTGTATTTGTGTATGTGTTACTGATATTTCATGTCGCTTGGTTTTATGACATATCCAGGGGTATAAATTTGGTGCCTTTTTTACGCTTTTTCACGATCTTTCCAATTTCATCGTCGGTATCCGAATTAGATTCATCGGTGAGAGGTTGAAATTTATTTTGCGTGGGGGTGAGGGTCTTTTTAGACTTATTTCTAATGAGATTATGAAAGTTTCTAGAAAACTTTTTTGGTATGGTAAACTTCTTCGTTGTTTCCGTTTCCATATCTGTTTCCTGGTTGTATGCCGCTCTCTCAGCAGCGTTTCTGGGTTCAAACAGGCTGTTGGGTGAATGAGGCAGGTTGCTGTATCTATTGTCCCTCTCTTTCCTAGTTTTATCCTCCTCTTCAGAGGTATGGCTATTAGGATCGTATTTTAGTATGTTTTCCGCAATACTATTAGGGATGTCATTTTTATTTACCTCTTTTCTGATGTGGGGGTCACTATTGATCCTTGTTTTGGAGACAGCACCCTTGGAGATGGGTATTTGTGGAGCTGTGAGTGTGGACACAGACTCTCGAGAGAAGTCACTCAATTAGCCCCTCTTTTGAGCGGTATCCACACTTACAGATGTTTTTTCAGGGGGTTGTTGGCTAATGCTTCTAGTTAGGGTAGCTGTGTTGCCAAAGTCAAGGCTTCTTTTAACAACATTTGTAGGAAGCGGTAGGGTTTTAAAAATTATATTTTTTGCAGCTTGTACAAATTCAGGAGAGCCAATTTGGGGGATTTGTCCTGGTTCAAGTTTAGGGTTGGATTCTGTGTCCATTAAGGAGTCCGTACTTTTGACAGAGTCTCCTGATCTTTCTAATACATCTATTAATTTTTGTGTAGTTATGTCATAGTCTTTACCACCTGCTTGAGTATCTTGGCTCTCCTGACTGTCCTGGAATTCCAGTGACTCCTCTGAGTCGGCCGTGGACGGCTTACGCGCCTGTATTTCCCCTTCTATGTTAATAGTTTGCTCTTCTGTAGCTTTTGTAAGTGTTTGGAGGTCACCTGAAGGTAAAATCTCGAAAATGTTTGCCGGGAGTCTTCCTGTTGCTTCTTTTCCTTATCAGTTATAATTGAAGGACACAGAGCATTAAAAATGTTAGTACTCACATAAGTTGATCCTGTTCACTTAATTTTGGCTTTTGCAGTTTTCGGCCAATTCAGTTTAAGTACTGTGGTTGAGTTAATCTGCATCTATTTTTGAGGCGTCTCGTGTATTCGGTCTCAAAACTCTTGATAGTTGTGGGAGGCCCTGTGGGCTCCGACATTCACGGTGTAAATACCAATACTTTGATTTATACTTAACCCTGGCGTAATTAAAAACTTAGATTTAGAAAAATTAAAATTAGATTTACAGCTGTCACTATTATCTTAAGCAGACGAACGTAAACTTGGAGGCAAACGATACCTAGAAGAATTCTAAGTATACTGGCCCCGATTTCGGTTTCGAAATCCACGTCAGACCGTGCAGTCCACCGACCGACCAGTTGGTACTAGTCAGCTTGAGTTTTCACATTTAGTTTAATGTTCACCGAGAGAGGTTTGTGAGGGCTGGACGATATAAGCAACATACTGCTTAAAACCCTTAGTAGAAAAGCTATCGTGCAGATCTACCACATAATAAATGTCATTTTCAGACTACAACATTATCCCAGTAGTCTGAAAATGGCAAATATGATCTCTATTCTAAAACCGGGAAAATCGGGAAACAATATTGATAGTTACCACCCCATATCACTACTAAACACACTTGCAAAAATAACGGACGCAATAATTTTACGACGATTAAAAACAATAGAACAACGTACACAGATTATCCTGAAGGAACAATACGGTTTCAGAGAGGGGCACAGCACTGTGGCCCAGGTTCTGAGGATTGTTTATCACGCCAAAGAGGCATTCAATCAGGACCTGAAAACGGTGCTTGTGAAGCTTGACAGCGAGAAAGCATTTGATACCGTATGGACCCGAGGGTTAATCTACAAAATGCTTTTATAGTATATTATGCAACGATCATGTAATGATGGTTATTAATACACGAGCATTAACCGGGATACGAAACGAGCCAAAGGCGAGTTTCGTATGGTTTATGCGAGTGTTTTAATAACCATTACATGAGAGTTGCATACGCTATTTTTTCTACACCCGATAAATAATCAAGACCTATAAATATTATATTTATATTGGTATTGAACACAATAACAGTAATTACTCGTATTTCTATAAAAAATTCTACAAAATTGTAATTAATGGTATTACTTCAGGTATTGGTATTTCCCTAGATTTTTGCGGTAAAATATTTTGTACTGTATTTTCTGCTTTCTCCGATATGTGTGGAGGAGTCTTCTATATCGCTAATATCAGACATTTTAATATTATAATTATCGAAGTTTAGCTACCTACGAAAATTTAATACGTTTTGACAACTAAAATAATTACATAGGAACCTAGGACAAACGTCAAACAGCATGCTTGATTGAAAAATTGTAGGTTTCTATTGATTAAAAATCTGTATCGTAATGAAAAATCTGTATCATAATGGGTATCATTATGAAACGGATTATGGGCATATAAGTGCATTATTATAATACGGGTGTAGAAAAAATGA